TGATTTCACGCTCATTCGAAATTTTTTCTACGTCTCATATTTTTTTACAAAAGCATTCGTATGATCCTAAAAGTTTGCGGTCAGACAAAAATTAGCAAAATGATTCGGCTTGGTACTGCAAGTGGCTTGATACATACACATTGTCATATTCATCTCGATTGCTTTATGCCGTTATACAGTATATAGACGTGAGCTGAGCAAACCTCTAATACTCTTTGTATCTACTACAGCTGTGTATATAAACTCTATATGATTGAAATAAAACGAGAAAAAAATCCATTTTAGACCTTTAGCTGTGATCTAAAGTAAAAGCTTCGAGCTTTTTATCAAGCATGTTCTCAACAATCAAGCTAAGAAGAAGAAGATTAATATATCTTAGAAAATATTTTTCGGTAAATCTTAGCAGTGGCCTTATAAGTAAAATTCTCTTTTCGAAGAACTTTAATATCTTCAGAAAGTAGAATCAAAATATTTCTCCAGAAATATGCATAATTTGATTTAACCTAAATATAAGCTTTGAAATAAAATATCACCACACAAAATTTTGAAGAGCTTTAGAAGCGACTCGGGCCATACTTCAATAATTAGCTTAAAAACAAAGTTCAGAGACCCGCTGGAGCGTTAAAATGTTCCAGAAAAAAGATCTTCAAATAGAGTTTGGAGAGGTCTTTTTAGGCGAATTCTCTATAAGTGAAACTTTAAAGTCTCAATAAAAGAAAACACAGAAATATGAAGAATTTGAGTTACCCCAAATTTTCCGCAAAATATTTCTAAATAATAATAATAATTTTTTATGCTTTTCCTATGGTTAGCCAAAATTGTATGCCTGTTTGAGTAGACGGTAAGCAGGAGTTTGTTAAGCATCCGTATTTGTATGATATTTACATATTTATTTTTTAATTTTATATTATTCACTCATATTTGGGCCTCATATTTGTGTCTGTGCACATACATATTGTACATATTTATTTATATATGATGAATAGTATATAATAAATACAGTTAGATGTCTTTATCAGAAAGCCTACTTTCGAGATACTATCAATCACTAGAGCCACGCGTTGATGAGCTGCTAATCAGCATTTAAATAAATTGGTACACATACGTGTATATATGTACATATGTATATACAAATGTAAATAAAAAATTTGTTATGTCTAGGTAGGTTATGTAGGTATATTAATTTATAACGTGTGATCACCCACTCTGACGTCAGCCTCGTCGCACAACAATCAAATATTCAACACTAAATAGAGTGTAAGTACCTTCAAATACATATAATCTTTCAGGTAATACCGTTGTTTCCAAGTGTTGCCGCAGCTTTCGTTTGACCATATGCTTAGTCACACCACTTTGTATTGGGTATGGCGAGACATGACGCGTCGCTTGCGGCATTTCAACAAATCTGCTGTAAAATTCAAAATAAGTTGTGCAATTCCAGCGTCTACGAAAGTAAAATACAGAAATACGCACATTCATATATATATATTTATATATATATATATATATTTATCTTAAGCGCTAGACATCTTCGTAATGCAATTGTGAAATAGTTAATATTATATCTCTGCTCTAGAAGCAAAGGTTAAAATTAAAGCTGAATTCGAAAATTTCTTAAATGCTTTGCCAAGTTATTCTATTGCTTTTTGCAGTATTTTCCCTTTATAAAAGTCAGAATTTGCCCGAATAATTAATTTTAATGAAAATATTCCAAAAGTCAAGAAATTTGTTGTGACATATTCTCGACTCGACATCAGAGGAGTTACTAGGAATGTCGCCACATAAGTTCGCCCATCTTAAGCATTTTTTTCAGAAGCTCTTGTCACCAAAAACACGCGCCAATTTAAATAATTTTAACGGACACAATTGGCTTTAGATGTGCCACTTTGCCGCTCTGTCACAAGACCTTAAAATTCTCCAATCACATTTCATAGAAAATATATATGTAATTTCTTTTTTTTTCAAGTTTTGGTATAGGCGAAAGATCTCTCCAGCAGGAGAAGCCAGAGTGTAATGCAGTAATCAAAATTGCCAGGAGTTTGGACATACGAAACGGTATTGTAAAAAACCCATTTAGATGAGTAAAGTGCGGATTAGACCCTGAGTCAGCTCTATGCGAGAAACTTTTTGATACTTCACCCGAATGTGTACACTGCTTGCAGAATCATGCAGCCAATTGTAAGGGCTGTCAAGTTTATCAGGAACTGGTCTTCAGAAGAGATTTGCTTAGGTCGGCTCCTAACAACTCGCGATCGAATACAATTATTTCTTCGTATTCCGATCTAACATTGTACAATAATAATGCTAACTATGCAAATATCACAAAAGGACAAGCAAGCTCTTCCACAAATAGCCGAAACAACTTGGAAAAGTGAGAAGCACTGATTTCGAAACAACTTGAGATGACCTCAGCACTGTTGATAATGTTGACCTACCTCCCATCTAAGAATGCAAAGGTGACCATTTATTAGAAAGTGAACATTTTATCTTAACCAATAACGTAGTTATAATCAGGATATCCGAAACACTCTTTACCAACAAGTCTTATTTCAAAATAAAGGAGTTTGATGTCATGACTTGTAATCATCGGTTCTGCTATTGTTATTAAGTCTACTTTAAAATACAGAGTACTGTACACTGTAACAATCGTACGATCATTTATCGGAACCGGTCGGATCGGATCGTTATAGCATATATACGACCGATATTTTTGTTTCTGAGTTTCGGGTCAGAAATTTGTCACATCTGATGAATTATGCAATGGTGCGGGAAATGTTCGAGATCGGACGGCTATGCCATATATCCCCATACAACCCAATTGCTCAGGTATGAAAATTAATATTTAAATCTAAAATTAAAACCATAAATTGGTTTGTCGTGAAAGGTATAAAGACTTCGGAATGACCGAAGACAGTATGTCTTGTGAGCTTTAAATCTACCTTGTACATACACGCATACCTACGCACTTCTCTTCATTGTTCTATGTTCTATGGATACTATCGACAAAAATAAATTTACCTACACATATACTAGTATTTATATAGCTATTCTAATATCTACCAATTTATTGAAATAAAAAATTCATTGATCTCAAAATCAGCTCTGCTTGCGCTTTAAGAAAATTTTTCAGTTTTTCAGTGGCATAAAATCAGTCAAAGCTTGTATTTTTTTGTGGGAGTATAAAAAAGTATTCGAACTACCGGTTTTGACTATTAAATTTGCTTATTATTTTAGATTTTAAAACGGCAAAAAATAGTCGAGATTCAAATGGACGGCTACAAAATGGCGGCCAGGCCTAAAAAATCGTTGTCATTACTTGAAGATCATGAAATTTTCTACGTCCGGAACCTTAGATGAAACAATTTTTACAATAAATTTATATAAATTGCAATTATTATGTTGAATTTTTTGCTGCTTTTTTCACCTCAATTACGTTAAAAAATAGAAATAATTAATTATTAAAGCCAATCTTGGCTTCAAGACGTACAAAAAATAAATACTTCGAAACAGTAAGTGCATATAATTTAACATATATTTTATACATATATTTATTCCTGTAAAAAATAAACATTTATTTACATACCAACTGAGTACCGGCCTCTGCATGAAATATTCATTCTTCGGTAAATAAATGCAAACTGCGAGTGCTTCATTGCTCTGGCAAATTTAATCTATAGATAAACAATAAAAAATAATAATAAAATTAATGCAAATAATACTATGCAAATGTAATTGTAAATATGTACATATATATATATACATAAAATATTCGCACATAAATACAAATTTATTTATATCTCAACGCACACACATACTCGTACATTTATTGCCCTTTCGGTTTGGTGCCAATATTTATTTACCACGCGATCATTGTCACGTTTACATTTCGCCGGTCTTACACTGCAATTTAACCGTAAATGTCTGACGTGCTGCTTGCAGACGTTGGTAGAGCTCAGCGAAGGAAAGAGAGAGAGAGAGAGAGAGATACAGGGTCAGTAGAGCGCATATTTACTTACTCACGTTTTGATTAATACTTGGACCAGTAATGAGTCATGTGAGCCTTAAAAATATCCCATTCATTTTGCTAATTTCAGAGAGCGGATAATTAGAGTATGTAAAATATCGGCAGACAAATCTTGTATTTATTAAAATTAAAAAAAAAATATTTTTGGGCTTGGTAGTTAGACATATTTATATAAGATATTTTGGTGTTGCTTGCATCTTATTTACTGTTGTTTTTATGCTTGAAATGGTTATTGTAAAGCCTGTCTGCGTATTTCTCCATATAAATTTGGTTGAGGAAAAATACTTTTATTTTGGATATTTTTAGCCGGTTTCGAAAACTGAGTTTTAATTATATCTGCATTTCAAGACATATGAATTCAGGCACAAAATTAAGCGAAATATAACATTCTAAGCTATGATATGACTTTACTGGCATAGACACCGCTTACCGCCATAACATCGCAAATACCAAGCGCAGGAAAATCTTTCTCAACCCCATCTTCCTCCGGATCCGCATCGAGAACCTTTAAACCCAGATTTTTCGCATTCCATTCCATTCAGACCGCGGTCGCCTAATTTGCTGAATATCAGCTGCGGTACTTTTGAGGGAGATTTTGTTGTTGCTTAACGTCACCTTACACAGCCGTAGAAGTTCTGAAGGGTTACCAGATTCAGCGGCGTAGAGGTAGCTTCTTTTCGTGCTATTGAAGACTGCTTTGAAATTGATCAAGAGATGATGTGTGTCGGTCCACTTTTCACGGGTCTTTTCCGAACAAATCTACATTTCAAGACATCTAAACTCTAGGTTTATGAGCATTCCTTCGCATGCTCCGTAAAGCAGAATCACCCAACATTTGTTTTATTTTGATCCAAGCTTGTCGAATGGGATTGTGTCCTGGGCCTCAGCGGCTTAGTCGGTTATATTTATGCTGAAATATGACTTATTTTAGACTCAAAAGTATTGATCGCAAAGAAAATTGCTACTATAGTCCATCTTATGATCTGATTTCTATGTTTTTCAATCTAGCCATAGCTAATTTGATAAAACAATCTTTTCTACATTTATTTCATTTCGAATAGTTTTTACGACAAATTGGATTCACTTCGTTTAATTTTGAAAAAAATAATTTGAACTTGATGTGTTGTGTTATATTCGCCGAAATCCCTTGCGCTCATTTTTTCCCTTTCAGCGATTGCATCGCCTTGTCCAGAGTTTCAGCCGACTTACATAAGCGCTGCTGTTCCAAGCCACTCAATTGTAGCTTAATAAAGGATGTTACACCATTTGCGCCAAGAACAACCGGTAAGGATAAGAACACATCATTTTCAATACCTTCACGTTCCTGAATATGAATGCAAAATAAAAATTATCAGCCATTATTAGATTATTTAATGCCAATACAAACTTACCCTCGCCAATGTGGAAACCGTAGCCACCTCATTTTTGTTATCTAAAATCATCGAAACGAGCGACGCCACCGTCAAACCAATGGCCCAATTGGTATACCCTTTACCGGCAATAACTTCATAAGCAGCTTTAACCACCTGATTGTGCACCTCATGCCATTGATCGGTGTCACCTTCGGCGCCTGCACATTTCGAAAGATCCCGAAAACGTATGCCACCCACACTAACGGCACTCCATACCGGTACTGAGGAGTCACCATGTTCACCGATGACATATCCTTGCACTGAACTCGCAGAGACGCCTAAACGTTTTGCTATAAAATAACGGAACCGTGCGGTGTCCAGGTGCGTGCCAGAGGCGAATACGCGTTCCAGAGGTAGTTGGGAAGTTTTCCAGGCCACATGTGCTAAAATGTCACATGGATTCGAGACTATTATTAGTATTGTCTCGGGGGAGTATTTTACAAGTGGCGGCACTATTTGACTCATAATTTTCACATTCGTTTTCAAGAGATCCAGCCGTGTTTGGCCCTTCTTTTGACGCTCCCCTGCTGTGATAATACAAACCGCTGAATCCTCGGATGCTTTGTAGTCTGTGTTGCCTATAATGACGGCATCTCTTAAATATAGAGAACCTTGCTGAACGTCTTTGGATTCACCCTTCACCAGCTTCTCGTTGGCGTCTATAATGCACACTTCGTTGGAGATATTTTGCGCTAGTATGCTCATTATGACGGCCATGCCGACTTGGCCGCAGCCCACCACGGTGACTTTTCGTTTCGTTTTCTTCGCTGGCCTGCCAAAGGGTTCTATTAGTTTCTCCCGCACCAAATCCGTTGCATAGGTTCTGAAAGAGAAAAATTAAGTGAGAGAATTGTATTAAAATATAAAAATAAATTTTTAATAAAAAGTACAATTTTAAATGGTTAAGTTATCCAGTCTGTCTTAGAGACCACATTGTATGGAATATGCCTCAGATTTCGCGAAAGGGTTAAATATCTGCGCGCCATCTGCTGTTAAAAAAAGAATTGACCTTTAGTTTGCTCAAGAACCATTTATTTTGACAAATAGTTGCAACTAGCAGTCGCTAGAGGACGCCGCAACAAGTTAAGGTTAATGTTCTGTATGCATGTGTGCAGGTATATCACGCCATATGTACATACCAAGCTCCCATACTCACTAAATGTTGCATAAAATTTAATTTTAATAATGTTTCAGAGAATGCCCTCGGATAGAATAATGGGAGCTTTAGTCCAGCAGGATTAAGTCTTGGAGTACTTCCAACGTAGTTTTCACCGCTAAATCAACGCCTGAGGTATCATATCCCTAAGCTAGTTAGGTTAGAATGGTCGAGTGTAGAGCATGCACAAAACAGGACGAAATGGCTTTGGGACCTTCAGTTGTGATCATAACATTTATCTTTCTCCAAAGCCCCAACATTATGGGAGGAACATACACTGTCGTGGGGAAGAAAATTTCCATTCATTAGCGCAGATATATGTATGCTAGGAGTTGTAAACATTAATCAAGCTAAAAATCATTTCGAAATAACCCTAAACCTCTACCATACGGAAGAAAAAACACGAACACTTACAAGTTGTGATAATTAAGTAATCAGACTGATTCCATAAAAACCGTTTATTTCAAAATTATTCTCCAACTCTGCCATCCCCTTCAAAATAGTGGGCAGCTATACAACGATTCCAGCGTGTTTACCATTCTTCGTAACATTTCTGGAACGCTTCGACTGAGATGTCCGCGAGTACCCTCTCCACGGCCGCCTGGATGTACTCACTCGACTCAAAATGGGTTCCTTTGACCACCGATTTTGTTCTAGGGAACGAAAAAAAGTCACAGAGTGACGTATCGGGCGATCCCTTTAGAGGCCAAATACTGGCACACGTTGAGAGCGGTGTGGCAAAGCGCGTTGTCGTGATGAAGCATCCAGTTACGAGCGATGACTGGGCGCACCTTTTTGACTCGTTTTCGCAATCTTTCGAGTATTTGGGGATAGTAGACTTGACTAACGGTTTCCCTCGGTGGAAGAAATTCTTTGTGGATGATTCCGAAGCTATCAATGAAGGCAATAATCATCGTTTTCCTCTTCGACTTGCGCGCCTCGTTTCCACGCTTTCACGCCCTTCCTAAAACTATTTAAGTCATCGAAACACCTGAGCACAACTGTGAGCAGACTATCAACATGCACTATTACAATTTTACAATCAACGTACGTTTCCAATTCGGCACGAAATTTTATTGCGACGCGTTGCTCCTGATTTCGTTTTTCCTTTTTCGTGATGAGCGCCACGAACACACGTTTACTCCGGCGAACGGAGGAAAAGTTCGGACGAAAATCACCAACGGTGACAAAGCGCAAATTATATTGCATATACATAGGTATGTACATATATATCATAGGTAATATATATGTATATATATATAAATATATAATATTTTATATTATATTATTCTTCAAAGTGTGATTTATCTTTGGGAGTACTGTCTTCTACAAGATCAGCTCATAGGAAATTCCAACTAAATAAAAACAATTTGTCTATTTTCTTTTTTGGCAATCTTCAGTTAAAGTGATTCAAGATGATTTATGTACATACACGTAAGTATCTATGTAGATACTTATGAAATTGAAAACAGTTCTTTCAAATTTTTCTCCTACATAAAAAGCCATAATTCCAATTGATTAAATTTTCATTGAATACTCCCTTCTTGATCTGTATTTTGTGTAAGCGTGTATGTATGTATGCATTTATGTATGTAAAGACGCTGCCACACAATCAAATTATTCATCACATTCCCGCATTGAAAACCAAATAACAACACTCAATATTGCAGACAACAACATTATCAACGTCATCATGAGACGACTGGTCAGAACTTTGGCAGTCAGCAGAGCAGCCTTCGTAACATCAAACAGAAGCGTCGATTAATGCTAATTTGCATAAACATTCATTCAACATTTTTCCAACAGCCGCTGCTGATTATACGCCAATGAACAAAATGAATAATACTACATTTTGCCATTGTTGCTGATGCTGTTGCTGTTGTTGCTGTTGTTGTTGTTGTTGTTGTTGTCGCTGTGAGGGAGAAACAAAAATGTTTGCTTCGATGACTGCATCGCCTCTGGTGTGTCTGGTGTTGTTGCAGCAGGGCAATTGCCTGCAGGTTGTTTCCACTCAATTGTTGTTGTTGATGTTAATATTGCTGCTGTTTGTTGTTATTAATGCAGCCGCTCGGTTGTGCATCTAATTTTTTTTTTTTGGTGATCGCCTAAAAGGGTGGTTCTCACGGCATTGACGGCGCGCAGTTGCTAAACAAATATACAACAACAACAACACCAACAACAACAACAATGCTATGAATAGCAACAATAGTAGTCGCTGGCATTGTCTCTCGCTGTTGTTGAGTTATTATTGCTGTAGCTGTTTTTATTTTGGTTTGCTGTTGTGCTGCCAGTCTGTCCTACAAACCCTGCAGCCCTGCGGTCGCGCGACGAATAGTCGACAATCAGTTGAAATTTTGCCAAAAATGAAGTTGTTGCTGTACCGACGTGTATCGCCTGTCGCAACAAACATCAACTGTAGTTGTTATTCCTGTCGTTTGGCTTGTTGTGTTGATGGCACTGTAACGCCACAACAATTGATGCGAGCAACGCAAAAGCCGCATAAGCCGGGATTTAGCAGATTGCCTTTGCCAAGCATTCTTTGTTTTCATTATGTTTTTCAGAATTTTTTAGCGTATTTTTCTTGTAAATTTTTATTATTTCAACTCTTCTTCGTCCTTTCTCCTGATCGATTATGAATGCATCAAACAATAGATGATGCAACTCAGCCACGCGAAGCCTTAACAACTTAATAATCCAGTAAAGACATCGGAAGCGGACTTTCGGCAAAACTTTGTTATTTCTGACTGTGGCACAAGGTGAGAGGAAGACACAATGCACCGCTCTCTTGGTTGTCTAAGGCATTTGAAAATCTTTTGCAACTAAAAGGGATGCGGTGGGATTGGTTAGAAAAACGTGAGCACCAAAATAATCCGCTGCAAGCATGCACTTTACGGCTGAGGTATGAGAGGTAGTGAAAAAATGGGTAGGGGGAGGGCGAGCTTCAATGACTATGAGAAATGAAGATGAGCCCTTTAAGAGTTAAAGCAATATGCAGATTAAGTAAATAGATGTTTGAAGATTACACAATTGGCACTGGTTGCTTAATCTCCCCCAAAGGAAACCAAAAGTTACGCATTGAGAGGTATCTTTTGCTCTCAGAGAATAAGAGATGTTTGTATCAATTTTTACCTTCCAAAATTTTGTTGTATTTGCCGAAAATACTCTTGACCTTGTTCTATCTATCTGATTTGATATTTGTGATTTGATCAGCTTTATCTGGGTCTCTCTGAAGGTTCGAAAGTAACATAGATTTTATTCACAACCTTTAGAAAGGCGGGAATTATGTCCAATTGTTCGTTAAGTTTGAATACTACAACCTACTCACAAACATCTCAGTGATGGTCGATCAACCGTAATCATAATCCCAGAATATAGTGAGAAATCATCACTTCTACGCGGTAAAGACCCTCGCGTAAACATAACTTATCCAGAACCCTACGAGAGGAAGAGTAAACGTTTTCAACTTGGTACAGAAAATATTTGTTCGTGGGATGAAGAGTGCATCTGGCCCAAACTCTTCGAAAAGCTAGCAGATTTTCACACATCACAGTGGATCTCAAGTGGGGGAGAGTCTCTCCTTAACCTTCTCAGTGTGTTAAGAGATTCTGTACACCTCTGAATTGCTATTCATTAAGACTGAGTTTAGTATCTTACCGTCGATCAAAATTATTGAAAAGAAATTTTTTTATTACGGTCGCTCCGAGGCGAGGAATGTCAACTACTCGGCGGAGTGCATGAAATGAAATCCTCTTCGAAAGTATCCATCAGCCACTCGGGTGAGAATGAGGAAAGTCTGTAGCTATATACATTTCTTGGAAACCAAACAAGGTGCACATTGCAGATTGGAGAAGGAGCTCAGCGGCTATAAAGCGCCATTTATACAAATCCTACATCTCTCAAGATACCTTGATGGCTGTTTGTTTCGAATGAGGAATAAAGATCTCAACTAATCGTGAAGAATCGTATATTTGCTTTTAGTACTCGGGTGTGGTGAGATATTCATAGACAGACGCTTTCATTAATCTTTCACCTGGCTACACTAAGGTTCGGGTTATAGAAGCTCGGTTCCTCTTAAGTATTGTAATGTGAGATATTTTAAAAACTATTATTTTTAAAACTATTATTAAATATTTTGAAAAAGACGAACAGAAAGAATTTACGAGTAAATTATTGTAATCGAAGGGGATAACAGTCATCGGTTATTCTCGTTCCTCTTAGTTTAAGCTATGAAATGGAGAAAAATGATGTCGCTTTTCCATCAGATGCGTATTAAACTCTTATTTTGAGCCCAGCAGACAGTAAGTCCTTGGGTCAAAGAATTTCCCATAAATCTGTAAAATATTATATTTTGGCTGAGGGTTAAGTCCCAGCAAAAGTTGTTTTGATGTGGTTCGAATAATTTCTTCCCCAAGTGACATATTTGGGTACAAAATTGAAGAATTGTCATTATCTCGAACAGAAAAGCGACCTGATGCTTCATGATGTGTTACTTTTTTCACCAGATATTACATTTAAAGTCCTAAGAGACTATGGTAAAGGCTTAAGCATTGAGAAGGACCTTAAGAGCAGCAGCTTCCGTGGATATAGCTCTCTGGTCGACAATGGACGACCAGATTTTCAGAAATTAAATAAACTAAATTTAATTCTGAATTCACTGCGCACTCTTT